TCTGAATTGAATGCATATTTATTTAGGCCATTAAAAAATATCATTGGTCTCAACAAGTAATAGAGGATTACCTCGACGTTTATGTCTTCATTGCCATATACCATGCAACACTTCTATGTCAAGTTCCCAAACAAATCTCGGTAGATTGTACTTTAGGTGTCCATGATGTAGTTTTTTCAGTGATGCGATGATTATAATGAAGTATTGAAATATGGAGAAAACTTGAGGCAACGAAACATACTCAATCTCTTCAATCGCAAGAAGATGTCGTCATCAATGGAGAACAAATAGTTATTCAAGAAACTATTGTTGATGAACTAAGGCGTGTACAATGGGTTTTGGTTTTCTTTTGCGTAATCAACGCTTTATTTTTTTTAGTAATCCTTATAAAATGTATTTGAAGTAATTTGAAGAAATTTACCTACTACGTCCGTAGGTCCATCTCTAACTACTATATATAAGCTACTACGAATATGGTTTTTATTCTTAAATAATGCAATTTAGTTCATCTATATGCAAAGCTATATACTAGCCAAAAGGTGAATTCAATGATGAATGGTCATAGTTTCTTTTATTATTAGAATGTGCTTCTCTTATCGAATGGATAGTAGTACGATATTCGAGTATTTAGTAATAAATGTAAACTACTCCATATGTATATTTGTCATGTACGACTATGTAGTGTATTAATTATTGCTAAATATTTAGGTATGAGTTCTAATAATGATGGGAGGAACTATAACTGTGCGTCTCCACGAGATGACAAACTTCTAGATGTGATGGCCCGTTTTTTTAAAGACAACTTGATGACGAGTGAGGTATTTTGTAGGGAGGAATGAGCCAGAATTAAGTGTGAGAGGTGTCACAAATATTAAGAAAGGAAAATCTGGGCTCGGATGGAATATAAGAGGATGGTCACTGTAGATTGGGTAGTGTGGGAGGGGTATTGCCTAGTATAGACTAACAATACTATTTTTCATTAGAATTATTTATTATGTAACATGCGTCCGTATGTTCATTTTACAATGTTGTTTATCACAGAACAACTGTTGGGCATCAAAATACAAGAGCAAGAGCTTCCCTTCTGTGGCTGACATGGACACTATGTTTTGAGAAGGGATAGCTGAGGGAAATAGAAGTTCTTCTATCTTGGATGGTGCTAACCAGGAATCACCGCCTGTGGGGGACATTGAGCCAGAGATAGAGGTTGAGGGCCAAAATTCGATTCCACAAGAGGTGGAGGGCGATGAAGTGGACACAGAGGATAATATTTGATGCCGATGGTGGGGATGTTAGCGGGCCCTCCCCTAGGACCAAAAAGAGGAATCGTGGTCAATCATCCACAGTAGGGGAGGCTCCTAAGAGGCAAGCAAGGCCAACCACATTAGGAAAACAACTGGCTTCTGCACTTATTTCACTCCATGGATAAGATGTTGGAACATTCAGTCCTCTTCAAACAAAATGCATGGATGCAGTGTCTGATGCTTGCAAAGAGTAAGGTATTGGTCCACAGTTATACATTAGGGCTGCTAACTCTTTTGCGGATTCCATGAGGGCCTACAAATTCGTATCCATTGCTCCACGGTACCGTAAGCTGTGGTTGCAGACCCATATCCCACAATAGTAGTTCTATGTTAGTTGTTTATGATGTTAAACTGTGCTGACTTGGGAAAGGACTTTTTTAAAAAAAATAAATAAGTTATTCTTCGTCAAATGATTTGGATGCTTTTGTTTTGCTTAGGCAGATGACCTTTATGTTGATGGTTTATTTTTCTATGCTTTATGTGGATGGCCTTTATGGGATTGTTTATATTGATGTTTTATTTTTCTATATTTTATGTGGATTTCTATGTTTTATGAGGATGGTTTTTTTTTTTTATGGTTTATGTGGATGGTTTTCTATTTTATGGTTTATGTGGATGGGTTTTTCTCCATGGATTTATGTGGATGGTTTTTTTAATATGTGATTTATGTGGATGGTTTTTTTTTTATGATTTATGTGGATGGTTATTATTTTCATAGTTTATGTGAATGGCTTTTTTTTCTATGATTTGTGTGGATGGTTATTTTTTTCATGGTTTATGCGGATTTTTTTTTGTCCATAGTTTAATTTGATGGCTAGTTTTGCATTATTTATGTGGCTGATTTTGTTTTGTATGGTTTACATGGCAAGGTTTTTTTATTCGTTTTTATAGATAGTTTTTTGCTCATGCATGAACTATACATCTATGTTGGAATTCACAGGTTAGACTGTCAGTATGGATCTACATGAGGTAAAGGGGATTTATATGACGCATATTATTGCGTATGCAACAGCCTTGTGTTGTGTTTGGTACTATTATAACTACCTGATACCAAGGACTCGAGTTCACACATGTTCTTTAATTGGTGCTGTATTTGTTTCATATTTAATACAATCTCATGAGAACAAGTGCTTCAATTTATTGCGAATGGACACAAATTCCTTTTTAGGCTTGTATGGAATTTTAAGGGAAGGTGATTTTCTTCATAATTCTCAGTATATGATGGTAGAAGAACAAGTAGTCATATTCCTAAATACAATCACACACAATGAGCATGATAGGGTGATGCAAATTCAATTTCAACATTTTGAGAAAAATATTAGCAATGACTTCAATAGAATCCTAAATGCAATTTTACGCTTAGATCTGTATTTTGTCATCCCTTTCTCATCAGAAACACAGAGCAAAATCAGAGGGGATACGAGATTCTTCCCTTTTTTTCAAGGTGAACATTGTGTATATCATAGATTTAATAAATAATGAGGATCTTATTACAATTGCTTACATAGGAATTTCCATATTAGGATTGCATTGGAGCATTGGATGGGACCCACATTCCTGCTTAGATTCCAAAGGCACTGCAAAAGCAATACCGTAATCGAAAAGGGGATCTATCTCAATATGTTTTGGCTGCAGTTAACTTCAACATATGCTTTACATTTGTATTAGCAGGGTAAGAAGGTTCAGCAGCAAACTTCAGCAGCAGACTCAAGAATTCTACATAATACTATTGAGCGGGACAAACATCCATTAATAGTGCCATAAGGTAAAAAATAAATTTATTTATTAAACATTTCTAGGTTTGTATGGTAAAAATACTAATATATTGGACATATTGGATGCGGGATACCCTACTATGCGTGGATTGATTTCCCCACATCGTGGTGCACGGTACCACCTAGTGAGACCAAGGGAAGGACCCCTCTGAGGACTCCAAAAGAGCTATTTAATCATCGACATTCATCATTAAGAACTATTGTGGATCGCACCTTTGGGTTATGGAAAGTGTGGCTTCTCTTGCAGCAGTCATAAAAATTAGCTATCTGATCAGTGCATCAATTAAGCATTCTTTCCATATAGCAAGTATCATTCATCGATTCAATTATCGGCATTCACAATCACTATTCAATCATTACCCACTTACTCCCTAGCTTACCTACTCCCTCAGTAGAGGCTCTATCCATCGAGCTAAGCCAATCCCATTGCTTAAGACCTCTACCATCTCCCAGGAGGGAGAGCAATGACAAGTAGGGAAATCCACTTCGTAATGCCCTCATATTCTCACACACTGCCCCCAATACACATTGGGGGTTCGATAGAAACTTGCCTTGCAAGGCGTCAGTCATTAGTCTCATCTCATAAATTCTCGGGGGGCCCATTTCACTTTTCCCCTAACTGCATCTTATCATGCAACAAGTTAGAGGATATAGCAAGCATCACTTTCCTTAGTATAGCAATCCTCACTACCGATGGGTGCCCCATCGTGTAGTGAGCAGTAGCAGTGTCCACTACAGATGGATGCCCCATTGGGTAGCGACCAGTATCAGTATCATAACATAACAGTGCCCACTATCAATGGGTGTCCCATTGCGTAGTGATCATTATCACGGTATCATATCATGTTCAATCATTTATCTTATTCATGCTAGATCAGTACCTTATGACAGATAATTTGCATTTTCATCATGCAAAGTCTGAGCCTTGTTCAGAAATATACAGCTATCATGTACACTATGTGACTTAGCACGAAACATCCATTATAAGAGGGATATCACAAGGCGCGTACACTTATCAATTAGTATTCATAACACTTCATTAGATTAGCACAACAGCATTTATCGAGTAACGTTTATCGTAGAGCTATCATATGGAAATTGCACTTATCGATTATCACTTATCACATGGTCACATAGAATTGTTCACATAACACCATGGCACTCAACATGTAGCACTCATTAAATGAAAACTATTACATGACTGAAATTCTAGGTGACGTCATTTTTTCCAGAGGCATAACTCCCAATCTACATCTTAGTTTAAACATACCGTAAGCTTACACATGGTTTTTACATGCAACCGTTTCAAAATGGTTTAAACATGCAACCGTAAGCTTACACATAGATCTTAAAAACGACGGTGGATTGAAGGTGTTCGGGCATCGTTCAACAAATCAAAAGCTTGGCACAAAGTGAGTGACAGTTGCTGAACAGTGATCTACGAAGAATTTCAAATTTATCAAAACATACAACTATAATCTTATTCACTGATCTTTCAAATGGTAGCATTTTGAAGACGTTTGGACACCGTTTGATAGGCCAAAAGTACGGCACAAAAAGAGTCATAGTTTCTGGAATTTACCGCGACTGTGAGCAATGACATGCCCCAACATTTTGGGGCATATCTTTTGATCCATACAATATTTTAACATAGTATAAAAAGTAAACTTAAAATAGACACGTATATATTTCATTCAAGGCCAATTTGGGCCCATTTGAGTGTAGTTGGTTATCAAAAAGTCCAAGGCAAAGACCCTCACAGTTCCTGAAAAATCCCTTTATCCCACGTTTTACCATGCTATCCAATGATACACACAGTTTCACAAACCAAAAATAAAACCCATTACAAACCTTATTCATGTCAAGTAGTTTAAGCAAGTTTTACAAGGAAACTATTCTATAAATTTATCAAGTTCATCACTCAAAGCTCAATCACTCATTCAATTCCCTTTTTATTCATCTATATTCATACACCTCATTCTATCATCTTTCTTTTCATATCAACTTAAATTTATATCCCATGAAGTGAAATGATGCACGATACTAAACCCACTTACATGTTCCTTACAGTGTCTTCAACCCCGCTCACTTCCTTCTCAAGCTTCATGAGCTTCACGAGGAGCTCCCTTTAACTGGTGGCAGTAAGCTCCTTGGAGAGAGAGGGAGAGAGAGATGAAAAATGAGGAAAATGGCATTGGCAGGGGGAAGGGAGAGGGCTAAGTACCCACGGTAGGTGGGATCCACTGTTGTTGACTGGGTAGGTGAAGGTCATTGTACATGACATGTACGACACTGAAACGTATGGCACTGACAAGTGTGGCGCTGGCAGCAGTCACATCTTCTCTTTTCACTCATGGCTCTATCCTTAGCTCATGCACGACGTTGCTCCTTTACTGCCTTCACAAGCAGCGATAGCCACCTACACCCGCCGCGATGCTCCAAACGGCGCTACACTCATGGCGTTACTCGTCCGTCTCTCTGTTCACAGCCGACGTTAGGCCTCTTCCACAGATGGGGATGCACATCCCTATCTTCACGCACAGTGCTGACTTTTCACACACGACGTTGGTTCTCTCTCACGTCTTTACTTTACAGACGGCCCTAAGCTCTTATACATGTGCAGCGATGCTCCAAACGGCACTAGGCCTTTGTCTCACCCTCCATCGCCGTGCGCATCTCTAAACTGGGAGAAAATTGTGGTCCTTACAACTTACGATACAAGTTAAAATTGTAAATGCCACTTGTATTTTACACAATTATATACGAATGAGGCCCGCTCAGAGCTCTAATCAAGAGAGCATTTCAACGTCAAGTTCTTAGCAAGGTGAGGAGATATATCGAGTTCCGCGATAGAGCTGAATCAGATGAAGGCAAAGCTAAGAAGATGAGCTTGAGGATCTCAGCTCTTAGAGTAGGTTTTCCCATGATAATGAATAGTATTACAGGCAGTTTCCCGCTTTCCCATTGTCAAACAAGTGAAATTGCCAACACCATAGTTTATCAAACAGGGTTTCCAGCTTTAACCCTACCAATTTTTACCTGCATTACAGAATCCAGGAAGTCAGCAGCAGGGGTGATTTCCAGGGACATTGCAGTGAAATTTTATCAAACGCCGCCTAAGACTTTCTAGCAATAGGTAATAGTAAGACAGATGAGGAAATCAGCATTGTCGAGGGGGTTTATATAGGATAACATCACATGCAAGTTTACTAATATATGGCCATCATAAAATTATTTCTTAAGATAATTTTGAATATTTTCTTTGGTATATTTAATAATTGGTAAAACACAATACCCTCGACATCTTTGATATTTTCCCTAATAGAGAGGGTTTATATAGGATAACATCACATAAGTTTACGAATATGGCCTTCACAAAATTATTTCTTAAGTTAATTTTGAATATTTTATTTTAGTATATTTAATAAGAGTAATGACACTATGAGACCCTCCCACACCTATGTGAGTAGGACCCCAAAGGATCACCATGACATTTTGACACAGATCTTTGAAAATATTATCACATGGGTGTAGGACTTGAGTGAATGGATTTATCACATAGGTGTGGGAGAGTCTCATAATATCATTACTGATTTAATAATTGGTAAAATACAAGACCCTCGACATCTTTGATATTTTCCCTAATACAAAGAAAACAATATTTGGTTAGATAAATTGATTTAATGGAAAACAACATTTACTCTCATGTACAAATTTATGGCAGTTTTCTTTTGGTAATCCCGGTTTACAATGGGCCAAGGCTTGCCTTTGCTATAAATGCCATCGCTAGGGTAATAAGTTACATCTCGACAAGTAAAGCTAAGTGAAACCTGCTAATTCGTTTATTAAATGGAAAATTTATTTATGTGTTAGGGGATGCAGAGCTACATTTTCATCCCCCGAGGCATAGGACATCCATCTTATAGATGGATGCTAGGTAGTGAACCCTCTTAAAAACTTAAAAATCAATGGCCGATAAAGTTTTTGAAAAAGTATCATGTTTAGTTCGACAATTTTATTTATTTTTACATATTCATTATCTAAAAATCATATATCCCTAAAAAGTTAAATTCAAAATCCATCTCAAAAATAAATTTTGAAGAGAGGATGCATATGTACATATGAATTTTGGGCCTGATTGGTGTCCTTATCAAAATAAGACAAGTAGAGACAAGCTCGGCATGAGTATGCTTAATACATGTATTTTTCAAACAACACCTGCTCAATAAATGGTATGTTATCTTTAGCCCCACGTTAAAGAGGAAACTCATCCTAATATATTATATCAAGAAATTCAACTTGGGTTTTAAATTGGTTAAGTAGTTGAGGATCACAAAATTACTTCCCGAATTCAAATCTTAATGTTGAGCTATCCAACTAAAATACTAAAATAAGATCTAATATAACATAATATAACACTGTTATGCATATTTGTTTGCTTATGCGTTTGATTTGTTTGCTGCTACCTTAATTAGGCTTGTATAGGGCTAGTTTGAACATCCAATTTTTAGCCAATATCAAAATAAAAAACAAATGTTATCGATCCAAGTTTAAATAATAAAAACATATTTTTTTTACCTCAATGTTTAATGTTAGGTATAGAGTTTGCAACATATTTTATACTTTAGTAGTGTTGGAATAGAGTGACATCAACGGTATTGCTACAAGTAATTGGAAAGGGTTGTAACAAAGTTTCTTTAGAAACAATACTTGAGCTTGAAACAATGTTTTCTTAGAAGCAATACTTGTTAATTAGTCATGGCTTCTTTCAACTACTAATATGTAAGTTGAGTCGAAGTCTAGTGTAAGTCTTAAAACTAACCATTCTTAAAACTAACCATTCTTAAAACTGACAATTAAATTAATAAATTTATGCTGTTTTTCTTTCAAATAATCAACATCACAAACTTATTTAATTAGTGGCTGTATACAACACATGCCCTATTATTTTCCACCAAATAATTTTTTTTACCTACATGCTGCTTCTTTAGAAAAATAAAACGGTATTCGCCCCCTTATTATGTTTCTATAATTTGAATTACGGAAGACCTTTTATTCCATCACCACCTTCTTCCTTACAATCAAGGTCCCAAATACAACAACCCCTGGCTGGATTTCTTTCGCATCCAAGATATAAATAATTTCATAATTGAACTTCTTTCTTATAGGCACTCTTCTTAAGAATCATCACCTACAAATACATTAGTGGTTGGTATTTCATTATATCGAGGAATCAATCAACAACATAAATAAGTTTCTATATTAATTACATGTGGAGATTAGTTTGTAACTTGAGCTAACTCCTAGTTTGTCTGAGAAGTTACCTTCAATTACTTCAACACACATATGCTTTTCTGGCCTTTTTTCTTTCTTTTTGCTATCCAAATCCTTCGAATATGTACGGGATAGGTGCATGTCATACACATGCTTGATATTTTCTTCAATGATAATTATTTTTTCTTTCTAACTTTTATTGGATACGTGCATGTCAAACACATGCCCGATATTTTCTTCCATAATAATTATTTTTAGCTAAATATTGTTTTCCCAAAGTAAACTTTGTGGCCGTCCCCTTCCTATGTTTCTATAAATTGCATCTCGTAGGACTCTCTAATCCATCATAGTCTTCTCTCTTGTATACTAAGTTCTAAATAAAGTGTCCCAGTTGTCGGTTTCTTTTGTTGCCCCATTATGATGAACTCCATGATTTACATTCATTTTTCATGGACAAACTCCTCATGAAATATCAACAACTTTTTTGTAGGTGACTTTCTCTTGCTCTCTCCATGCCACTAATAAACAAGATCTGAAATCCTAAACATTTCTTAATGCAATTTCAGAAAGGTCGAAACCTGATATTTATATCATTAAATTCATTTTTTGGAATTAATATTTCTTTTATTTTATTTTTATTTTTATTTTGCATTATAATTTAGCCTTTTTATTATTGTCTAATTTGGACCAATTTGAACATTCTTTTCCTGATTGTATAAAATCCAACTAGTAATTCTCTCAAACGTTTTTTGAGATTGGATATATAGTTTTCAAAGTCAAAATTATATATATATCTATATATATATATATATAATAATCATTAATATTTTATATATTTAACTCAAAATTTCCATTTATAATTTATTTCTTTTCAACTAACTTTGATCCTCAACAAATTTTTTTTCCTATATTTTTCTCTATATCTTTAATCAATTTATGTCTCCTGTATCACTTTCTGTAGCTTTCTTAACCCATGCATCACAAGGATAACATAGTTTTCTTCGAATCATGGAAAATGCATCACAAGGATTACATATAGTTTTCTTCAAATCATGGAAATGATGAATTTAAAATAATGGGAAGCTTTTGAATTTATATCTGAAAGTCGGTCTCCAAGACAAAGAGAAATTGGCACGAGAAACTCACCAAAGTTCTATAGGCCTACCGCATCACCATTCGTGGTCCCACTGAAGCAACGCCATACTCGTTGGTCTATGGGAGCAAAGTAGTCCTACCTCTATAAATCCAATTGCCTTAACTCCGAGTAGCTATCCATCATGGGATGATTGATAAGGAGCAAACTGCTCTTCGCTACTAAGAGACCTTGGAAGCGTGCAAATGACGACTCCTTAAAACTATAGCTCGCTAGAGCAGCCGCACCCATGGATGTTAATAATCCCCGTCTCAAGGTCAGAGAGAGAGCACCCTCTCAATTGTTGAAGGCCAGCCCACAGCAAACCATTCACCTACTCTTAAGAGGAAAAGGGAGGGCCAGTCACCTACTCTTTAGAGGAAAAGGGAGGGCCTGGTTGTAAGCAGTCCTCAAAAGAAAAAGAAGAAGGGAGCCTACTCATGTCAGATACACATCTGATGAGGGATCTAAGACCAAAGGACCCAGGGAAGAAGTAACCTCGACCAGGGGAGTGGTCACTGTGGCAGCCACTGGCTCAGGAAGAACAAGGGCGAGATATACATCAATAAATGAATTCGGCTCGGATCGTGATTCGATATCTGATGCCAAGGAGGCTAGCACCTCGACCACATCAATATCCTCCGAGCAACCATCATTAGCCAGCTCGACAGTCGTCTCTAAACATCCCACCGCCCCAATGCCCTGGCACTCGAACCTCACTGACCCTGGTAGCGAGCGAGCCAAAGATGGCACCGGTATATCATCAATCTCAAAGGGGATAAGCATGCCCTCATATAGAGCATCATCATCCGTTGTCGCCTCAACAACATGGACCGCTTCTACCGGGAGCATGGTTGCTCTCTCTTGGGCGACAACTCAGATTAAATTGATAAAATACACCTAGCGGAAAATATTATATAGTTCAAATGTGAGGTGTATTTTGATAAACTTTTCAATAATAAATCTTAAGTTAACATTTTTTATTATAATATCACATTAATAAAAATTATTAAATGCTACTTTTTACTTTAATAATTATTTCTAATTCACAATATAATAATAGTCAAATTTGAATTTAACAAAGTCCAAAATTAATATTTCCAACGATAGCTTTCTATATTATGTTATCATATACCATAAAATGGAAAAATATAGTATAATACATATACAACTATATATGTTATTAATATAAGAAAAAAAAGTTATTAAGAAGGGTTTTGAAAATGTCTTAAAGGAAAGAAAACTATTATATTATATAATATAACAAAAAATTATACACTATATTATATATTATATAATTATAAAAATACTAGAAAACGTGTATAGGCAAAATGAACAGTGATTTTGTTTACCCTCATCATCATCCAAAGTTCCTCGCAGGGTCACAATTGCCCTGTAGTTTTTTATTTTTAATTTTTTTTCTACAAATCGGAATGACTTGAAATTGAAGGCATGTGTTCATCAAAAATACGAAAATCTACAAAAAAAATATCAAAAAGATATTTTACATGAAATAATTTACCAAAATACCCTCAAAAAGTTTTCGGGGTATTTTGGTCAATTTATTTTTTACGAATTATTTTTTTTATATTTTTATTAGGTGAGCCTCACTAAGATATACACATGTTCCAAATTTTAGGTCATTCTAATTTTTTTAAAAAAATAAAAAATAAAACACTGCAGAACAATTGCGACCGTGCGATGAACATTGGATGGTGATGAGGGTAAGTGAAATTACTATTCATTTTCACTTATAGGTGTTGGGAAGACTTTCCATAATTATAAAGTATAATATTATATAATGTAATAAAAAGGAAAGGATAGAGTATAATATATTTGTTTGAACACATTTTCCAGCACTTTAGTCTTTGGTACGAAATAAAGAGGAAGCATGTCAATAAGCCTTCAAAACAGTAGAAATTTTTATAGTCTCATAATTGGCCAAAAATTGGTCAAGATCTTCATTATTATTCCAAAAGGCAATCTGTCAAGTTTCATCGCGATCAGACATGTTTAAGGTAGTGAATACAAAAAAACAAATTCAGAAAAATTGGCCTCTAGCACCCTGAAATGGACCCCGTAACTAAAACTATACTTTTGGTGTATTAAATAGTGGTGGGACCACCACCATTGGATCCGACATAGTCGAAAACCCCTATGGGTCAAGTTTCGACTTAATCCGGCACTCCAAGACAAAGTTATGGGAAAAATACTGAAAAGGGGTAGGCCGCACATTATTCCCGTGGGAACACCTTGCACTAAAATACCATTAAAGGTGGTTGTTCTTACAGTCACAGGCAGTGACTTTTGAGGCTTCTATCTCACTCGTTCCAAGTCGGATCGCGCTCAAATTTGTTGAGCTTCTTCATCTTGTCAAGACAAGCGATTCGATATATGGTACGCCTCGTGACAATACCCAAGCAGGGAGAAAAACTAGAGAGAAGTTGTTGATCCAGGAAACAAGGTGTAGAAAATTCAGCTGCAGCACGCTCCACTCCGTTGGCCAAATCACTACGCTCGCATACCAGATCGACACGAGCATTGCAGTATGTGCATAAGGTCTGTGGCCATCTTTGGTCCAAACCCCGCGTACAATGAACGGTTGGATTTCACACACAAAAGCTCGAAGTTGCTGTAAATTTTGACCCCTAGATACCAAAATTCCAACCAAAAACGACAAAATCGTCATCCAAACACGAAATCAAGCTGTGTTGGTATCAAATCAATCGCCATGCCGAGCCCTACGAAAATATAATCATCTTTCGATCAAACGGGCATCAGAACAACCTCAGATCAATCATGGAAGATCATGCAAGTTCTTGGGCAGCAACAGCAACTGTTCTGAAATTCTACACATTGTTAGGCAGGGGCAAAACAGTCTTTTCTCGCCCATTTTTAGAATTTCTTTTAATTAAATTAAATTGTAATTATCTTCAATTCTAGGTCGGTTTTGGGCGTACACCCATGTTTTAGCCCAATTCTATATAAGCATGCAAATCTAAATTGTAAGCGACCCTTGGGTTCATTCTAAAAAATTCAATAAAGACTTCGTTTTTTCTTAAGCTCGTGGGTGTGTCTTGGAGAGAGAGAGAGAGGAGAGAGAAAAAAGGGCTAGTACCCTTCGGTAAGATAAGTTTCTCTCTCCTCCCCTATTTCTCTCTCCACTCCTCTTTCTCATCTCTATCTCTTTCTCTCTCTTCTCCTCGTCTTTATCTCTTCCTCTCTCTTCTCCTCGTCTATATCTCTTCCTCTCTCTTCTTCTCATCTCTATCTTTTTCTCTCTCTTCTCCTCATCTCTCTCTCTCTCTCTTTTCTTCTCGTCTCTATCTCATTCTCTCTCTTCTTCTCATCTTTATCTCTCTTGTTTTGATCTCCATCTCTCTCTCTCTTCTCTGTCTGATACAGTCGGTGAAGCCTAGCACCGACTACATGTTCTCTTTCTTCTTTGTCTAACACAATCGATGAAGCCTAGCGCCGACTACATCTTCTCTTTCTTCTTCGTCTAACACAGTCAGTGAAGCCTAGCACTGACTGCATGTTCTCATTCTTCTTCGTCTAACACAGTTGGCGAAGACTAGTGCCGACTGCATCTTCTCTCTCTTCTTTGTCTGATTCAATCAACGGAGCCTAGCGCCAACTGCATCTTCTCTCTTTTTCTTTGTCTAATACAGTCGGTGAAGCCTAGCACTGACTACATCTTCTCTCCTCTTTGTCTAATACAATCAGTGAAACCTAGCGCCGACTGTGTTTTTTTCTCTCTTCTTTTCTTGATACAACCGGTGATGCTCAGCGTCGACCATGTCCTCTTTCTCGTCTTGACCTAATGCAGCCGGCGACGCTTAACGCCGATTGTGTTCATCTCCCTTTCTATTCTCCTCTTCTCTTATCTTACTTCTTATTCTTTCTTTATGAATTTCATTCTATTATTCTTTCGTTTGATTAAGAAGGGTCGAGAATAGCTTCTCATGGTAGTCCTGTCGTCTAGTTGTAATGTTGTTGTGTCAAAATTCCTGTATCCGCTTTATTGCCACAACAGACTAACCATCGTGCCTAGCTAGTCAGTATTGGTATTGATGTCTAGTAGTAATTTTGTTAAACCGGTCTGAGTTACCAAGCCCGTTTTACTACCATGTCAGGCCAATTACTCATCAGCTTAGTCACTGTACTGATCTCCCCGCCTGGTCAAATTCTTCTCTCCACCATCGTTTTTATCTCATTCTTCTCTGGTTCTTTTGAATGTGCTTGCTCGTGTACTTTCACCAAAGAGGCAAGGTGAGGTCTTTGACCCACCTGTCTTAAAATATTTGTCATATGTGTGTGATTGCAGAAAACATAATGATACAGGCCAAGGGAGAAGATTCTAAAATAGTTTTATTACTGGGGGGCTTTCTTCGTGATCTAAGAGGGCGCTCACATGAGCCAGCACCCACCTTAAATTCTTCTCTCATCAGTTGGTAATACCTGCCTTCGTTCTCGAACGAGGTTCCTGAGAGAGCGGTCTCAAAACGGCCTGGATCTTCCCTCGAGACCCGAGACATGTGCCGTCCGATCATCCGGATCTAGAGGGCATAATCGAGGCACCTAACCAGCTGAGTAACTCCACTGGGGACTTACTACCCCTTTGTCGAATCATTCTTGCTTGGCTAGTTTCTTCTTTTATTATCTGCATTTATTATCTTTTCACACTTCACTTATGGCTTGCGGGTTCTCTAACCCATTTATCCAGATCGGGGACTTCCTCATCCCCGCATTCGAGAGTGTCCCTAAGGAACAAGTCTCTCCAACTTCGTTCCCAACTATCCTTTTGAGCAAAGATCCCTTGTCTAGCTCCCAGGTCTTAACCTGGATCGACATCAGAAGGGACTTGAAGGTCTCTCACTCCCCCTCTCATCGCTCTGGTGGAACCTCCACCAAGGCACCTTGCATTGACAGCACTTCTGTTGCCACACACGGCATGCACCCAACCACACTTGTCGATCGTATTTCTGAGATACGCTGGAAGGCTGCCAGTTACTGTCTACAAAAGGCAAGCAACTTGTCATTGCTTCTGTGGGTCGCCGCAAGGCTACCCCCCACATTCCTGCACCACCACAGGTCTCTATTCTTAAAAGCTCGACACATAGGGGCGGAGACCCTCAGGCCTCATCCTCTCGCACACACCACAAGGCTCGTGGGTCACTCACTCGAGCCACACCTCGGGGCTTCTGTTACCTCGAGTCAGCGTCAAATATCAGACCTCCCAAAGCCAGGTCCTGCACATGTTGTTCATATGCATCTCACTACTCGGGGCAACGCCCTTACTACGCCAACCTGAGAACACAGAAGACGACCCCCTCGTCCTCCTACTCAGCACACGCAAGCGCATCCTATAAGGGGCAGGCCTCCACCTATTCTCTTACAGACGGATGCTCACAATTCTCAACCTCCTAAGGCCAGACCACTTGTTCGAGCCCGGGACCCCTTGGTCATACGTGATCCCTCTTCACGGGGCACACACGTGTCGCCGTCATGGACAGCTCCTGACCCTCGACTCAGGCGTATACATGAGTCAACCTCGCTTCTGCCTGTTCCTCCTTCTACGAGCAAGCACCTTCAGCCTTGGTACTCGAAGACTTTTCCAAAGAGCACCATCCTGAACCAGCCCTTTATTTCGATCGTGTCTCTGGATCCCACAAAAGAGCTTGGGGCAATGACCTGATGGAAGATCGAGTCTGTCATCCTCCCCGGCCCAAGATGACCC